TTGTGTTCCATTCTGGCATGAGTGACAGTAGTTTTTAAATGTCTGATTTGTTGCCTGTCTATAAATAATGATTTTAGACACCAACATCATATCTGTAGCTTATTTAGTTCCAATTATATGCACATTTTAGATAAATTTGGCGGCCATTTTTCAAAATGGCCGCCATTTGTATAACAGGTGAAAAATCAAGTGTCAACAGGGCTTAGGGTGACCATGACGGATTAATTAGGATATCTGGCTATGTTGACTGCTTCTAACATTCCACTCCCCTAACTTGATTTCTAGGCCTCTTTTTTGATTTTTTTCCTAGACTACTAGGTTTGACTGCATAGCGTATTTGGTTTTATAGATAAATGTTACTGTACAGTAGCTATTGTATCAGTAACTGGTTTACCTAGTCTGTTCTATCAAGTAATTACCTAGCATTTTTTGTTCTAAAATTATTTATATTCAGATGTGCAGTATGAAAAAACAACATCTCAAAACATGCAACTGAGTTTTCAATAATTTCTAATATTCTCCACATTATAAGCTTAATAAACTGATGGGTCATTTAGTAAAATTGACTTGCTATTGACAAAGTTATGAATAAAAGTATTATGCCTTCTCTATACTAAAGTGTACAACACCGCCACATTCTAATGCTAATTACTCTGTTAAAAATTTAGCACATTATGTGCCTTTTTATTTACGAACGATTGTCATGGAGTGCCACCGATCTAAAGGTATAAGTTCAAATGATTAAAGAATAAAGAATATGCTGGTTTTTTTTGTGGCATGCCACACATTTTTGCAACGCAACAGTGTAAAACAGGATCAAGAACAAGATATTCATCGTACATCAAGCTGTTTAAACTGTTCCATTGGAGTTTGGTGCTTAATTTGCTTTCTGATGTAATTTTATTTTTTTGACTTTTTTTGAGCATACTATTTGTTTTCATTTGTTAGTTAAGTTTTGCTAGTTAAAAGATTCTTTTCACATTTGTCTGTTGTAAGACCGCACCACTGACTGTGAGTACCACAGATACAAGGGTGTAGTGCCACCAACTAAATAAAATAAGTAAATAAATAAAGCAGTTTGTTTACTTTATTGAAGCATAAATCAGTATATAGTAGCTAGAGTTTGATTGGGTCCTTAACTTCATGATTTGTGTTCCGCTGTTCACTTTGCATTCATATGGATAAGAGTTACTACAAACAAGCTACAGTATGTTTAGTTTATTGTCTTGAATTTTTATCTCTTTTCCAGGGCTTTTGGAATGTACAGTAAACATACCTAAGCTCAACTATTTCTTAGGGAGGGGGGGGGACACGTTCTCCCTCTTTTTTGCCACTAAATTTTAATATTTCAATGTATTGTGTATCAATGTTACAGTATGTATTGAAATAAGTGCTACTTACTTATCTGTTCTGAATATGTTGTACTTCCCCTCCCCTCATTTGAAAATTTCTGTATCCACCCCTGTTATTTATTACATTGTGACATGGAAGTTTAGTTAATTACAAACTACATTTTTGTTTCTCAGATATTTAAGCTAAATAATTTTTAAAATGAGTGACAATGAAGAAGGAAAACAGACTGAAAAACAAAACCATGATGATGACATACAACTCCCAACGAAAGAAGAGAACCAACTAGGTGCGGAAGACAAAGCACCAGTACCCGAAGATGACCCTTCCCACCTTGAAGACAAAACACAAGCAGTTGAAGATGACACATCAGGAGACAATTCAACAGAAACTCAAACAAGCCCACAAGAAGGTGAAGATTATTCTCATTTATAAAACATGAACTTGTAATTTGATTTAATGTATTTCCCTGAGTTAAATTTTATCTACAACAATGAAGAAAATTGTGACTCAAATGTGACAATCACTCTCAATTGAGGAGCTTTCACAAAGAGTATTTCTAAACCCCACAAACCCAGCATACCTTCTACTAAACCCTGCAAACCTCTTACAAACACTGCAAACCTCATATAAACGCCACCACACCTTGGTCTACATCATGCAAATAACTTAATAATGATTATATAGGATGCACCAAATGATTAAATAAATTAAAAAAAAAGCATCTGTAGTTATATTAATCTATTTTTTGGGTAAGATGTTGATTTTTGGGGAAAACCCTGCAAACCTCCACATAGTCATCCAAATCACTTAATGATTATAATGTAATATAAATTTTACAACAAAATAATTAAAATATATATGTTATATTAATCCATTTTTTTTGTTTATTTGATGCAATTGATTAAATATTCAAATAGTTACAATGGCAGTTGCCACTGTTGAACTATAAATTTTAATGTCTATTTCGTGAATACTTACCTGAATAAACCGATAAATGCTTAAGTTTTCTTTGAAATTACCTCTCGAACATAAAAGAAAATAATGGACTCGCCCTAGCTCGCCTATATACGCCCTGCGTGAAGGAACAATATCCTCGTTTCCTTCTCGCTTTTGTCTATTATAGACGTGTGAAAGCTTACCGGAGATTTCTATTGTTGTATAACAAAGAGTTTGTAGTGTTTCCCGTAGCCATGTCCGCGCGGAAGCCTACCTGTTCGATGTGTGGTGGGCCTAGGCCTAGCCCATGCGATGATAAGCACCCTGCTTGTCCGGCGTGTCGCTCGTGCGGCCAGGGCATGCCGTGTGATATTTGCAAGGCCTGGACTCCAGCGTGGTTCCAGGCTGCTGTGGTTTGGATTGCTAGCAATCTCGGGCCCAGCTTGGATTCTACTTCTGAGTCGTCCTTCCCACCGACTTCCGGTGTTCCTGGGCCTTCGACATCTTCAAGCATGTCCCAGGAGCAGGTCCTTAATCCTGATTTATTCGTATTCGGAACGTAGCGTTGTCTTTGTTGCAGCAGCAGCGTGTTGCCTCTGCACCAGTTGCTCCTCCTCCTCTTCCTGCCCTCCCGGCTGTTCCAGTCTGCCGCGGTGTTGGAAGTTAGGTTTCCTGGGGAGTTTTCCCCTAGTGTTGTGGTCATGGATTTTTCAGATGGCAATAAAATATTTATGTTATATTAATCCATTTTTTTTGTTTGTTTGATGCAATTGATTAATTATTCACATAGTTACGGTGGCGGTTGCCACTGCTGAACTATAAATTTTAATGTTTAAGTTGCTGACTTTGTATACTAAAGTAAGTAATTAGCTTCCAATTAATGCATAAATTATTTGATCATTTAATGAATATGTTATTAATATTCATCATTTACAGTTTATAGCATATTTTGCAATAACCTGTCACGATGTGCTTTACACACTAATATTACTACTGGTCTCTAGATCTAACACCTATGGAACACATCCTTAGCTCCCTAGGTAGCTCTATGCTTTACTATGTGTGTCATTGAATATACATCTATTTTATTATTAATTTATGAGTACTTCTATAGTTTTTGTGTCTACTGCCCCAATTGGGTTGTGTACACAATATGTCATGATGTTGCAAGTAAAGATGGCAGAAAAGGGTAAATCTGGTTTAGGCATGATGGGTACTACTGCCATGACAATGAGGTAGGGGGGCGCTCTATTGACAATCGAATACTGTTCGGAACTCGAACAAAATTGCGTTCGAAACTCGAACACGCGTTATAGAGACGCAGCACACGTTTGCCACGAACGCCTTTTACCATCATTTGAAGGACGCCCTCTAGAACATGGTAGTACTCTTTGTGATCAACGACATAACATGGTACTCCAGGAGTTACTCATTTTTAAAGTGTTTTTAGTGTAATATAGTAGTAGGCCTATACAGAATATGGTTTATTTTCTGCTGCTGCTATTTCATGAATAAATATTCAGAAAATATTATTTTGAATATACTGAAACAATTACTCAGTAATGATTACCATTAATTAATTATCCCTTAATATGGGCATAATCAGTTCCTGGAGATTATATTATAACCGTGTCTGACCATGATGGAATAAAATATTCTGACGGTCTTAAAAATAGCAATTTCATTTACAGTAATTGAGTACAGTATCCATTAGTTGATTACCTTTAGAAATTTATGATTGCGTTAATTTAGTGCTGTCATGTTTTAAAATGTTGGATAGACCGAGCTAGACATTAAAGGTACGCCTACTGTCGCTGCCTTAAACAAGTAGTATATTGTATAAAAAAAATTTTTTAAAAACACAGTTTTGTGTTCTGTAAGAAATTGTAAGATTATGAATTGTGAGGAGAGATGATGTTAAATAAAAATTTTTTATCTTGATATTAAAGGTATAACCAAGTAATTTATTATACACACCCGGTGCAATATTAAGAGAAAAATTGTAGTACCTGTAATGCCTTATTATATTTCTTATCTGGAATACTCTTATCTAATTTTTAAAATACTGTATAATTATTGATGCATACTGTAATTCAAGCTTGTAATATCTTGTGTACTCTATCTTTGCTAGTCAACAGGAACATTTACTAAGCAACTGACCATACAAGACACTTGAAAATTTGTATCTAGGTGAATAATTAGCAATTATCATAGCATACTGTGTACATGCAGGCAGGTAGCCATTCACTTAGTAAATTTCATTATTGTTTGCACATCTTGCTCATGTTATTGCATTTGAGTGTACAAAAAAAAAACCTAATGTAATTATTTTTTTTTTTTAATTTTTAGTAGGAAAAACAAAAGTTGATGAATTGGTTGAGAATGATATTAATGGCGCTATCAAGGAGATACCAGATGATGATATTAATGAGTGTGATGATTCCGGTGTAGGTGAAACCGCCATTTATCCAATCACGGATGAAAGTAATGGGAATGTTGTAGAAATGAAGGATGTTGATAAGGCACTAATGGAGGATACACACGAAAAGTAAGTACATAGTTGTATCATAAACATCATCATCATCACCATCATTAATATCATCATCATCATAATTAATATCGTCATCATCATCATTATCATCATCTATCAAGATGATGATCACAGTCTTCATCTTTATCATCATCATTAATCGTCATCATCATCATCTTCGTCGTCATCATCATAATTGTTACGTCCACCATTGCTAACATCTTCAAATATTATCACCAACTTTAAAATTCTTAAATTTTTTCGATAGAGTTGAAGATGAAGAGGAAGAAAGCCCAAAAGTAGAGATCAGGAGAGTTGGTGTTTTTGAAGTGGTGAGTATTAAACATTTACTGTACAACTTTGAGTGTTATAAGGTTCCTGCATATGCTAGTAGAACTGTCTGGGGCAGTTCTTTGTTCCTGTGAGGTGGCCCTGCCTATCCTTGATCAGATGTTAGATTTAAAGACTCCAACTCGAAAGTTTAGTAATTTATTGTTTGTAGCGTCCCTGTCTCATATTTGAGTCCATTTATTTTTGAAAATCATTTTTAATCAGTTATATTGTTTTTGAGATATGAATTGAGCATGAAAATGTTGAACTACCTCATGAACAAATAAATTATTAATGCAAAATCTAATGTACTGTATATATATTAAAAGTAATTATGCATTATTTATTTTTCAGTTTCGCTATGCAAATTCCTTTGATATCTTTCTCCTGGTCATCGGTACCACTGCTGCCATACTTCACGGTCTAGCTTTCCCATCTATTCTTTTCTTCTTTGGAGAGATCATCGACTCGTTTGTTGACTTTGGATCAGTGCAAAATTCTGATGAAACCAATGCGACAGTAATGGAAAAAGAAATGTTAGTATGATGACATCTCAAATATATTTGATTAGTCAATGACCTCCTTCCTAAATGTTAATTGCTTAATTCTTTAAATTTCCCTCCAAACTTCCTTTCTCCAAAATAAATTTTATTGTTCTAAGTGTTTGTTTTTTGCCGAGTGGTTACTATATGACACGTAAAACCAAGCTTCTGGGCTTCACTAATACATATCTGGTATCAAACCTTTAAAGTAATTCAGATTATTTTTTTAACTCCAAGAAAAATGAATTTGTAAAGATTTATTTTCTAATATTTCTTTCACTATGTGTTTCTTGCACATACCGTAGAACCTCAAATAGAAGCACAATGGGCTTAATCTCGGGAAGCAGCCCATCTCGAATTGAAGCCCCCTCTTTAGTTTGCAAAAGTAGCCTCGAAAAGAAGCCCATGGGTTTTATTTCAAGATAGCGTGGGCCTTTTTTCGAGATAGTACAGTACATACACTGTACATGAATTTCCAAGAAGCCAAATAAATTAAAAACACACTTGGTTTATACAGTAATGTAGGTGATTTAATGCCAGTTAATACACTTCATGATATAGATTTATGTTACTTTGGCCCTATTTATTGTTTTATAGTAGTAATTCCCAAAATTTACAGCATTCATTTTGAAAAGAAGCCCCCCTCTTACTTTGCAAAAGTAGCCTCGAAAAGAAGCCCATCCAAACTTTACAAACAAAAGAAGCTCATAATGAATAAACCAGTGTTTTCCCTTGATTTTGTATAACGATATGAAATATGAAAAAAAATTTTTGATATGTTGTAGAACTGATTTTTCTAAGACAGAAAAAGGTAGTTTAATCAAAAACTGAGCAACGGTGAATGAGATACAGATTTTTGAATATTTAAAAACTGGGGGGAAAAGGTGTAAAAATGGACGGTTACGCCCCTTTTTCCCCAGTTTTTAAATATTCAAAAATCAGTATCTTGTTTACCGTTCCCCAGTTTTTCTTCAAACAACTTTATTCTGTCTGAGAAAAATCAGTTCTACAACATATCAAATTTTGTTTTCCCTCCGGAGTCTGACTTTAACTTTAATGATAAGAAAGCTCGACCATATTGAGTACAGTACTGCAGTACTATAAGAAAATTAATTACTAGAATTTCAGTAGTTTGGTAATTATTCAATCATGGCCAACAAACATGGCCAACAAATTGGCCCCATGTACAAACATAGCACAAACAGATCCCAAACAGCGCTAGTCCATAGGCGCATTTAGGTGAAGTTGAGCTAGGCCTAGGAGGCTAGCGTATGCCCGATTCTATCGCCGCCTTTCTTGGCCAACTTGGCCAGCAGAGAATCCTATTCTAGGCTAGACGTAGGCCTAGCCAGCCTGATTCCTGAACCTTGCTGGCGTAGCTGTAATATGCGACAGTCAGCACAGATAATATATTTTTCTGCGTTGTCTGTTTTTTAACAAGCTCATAAAACTTGATTGTGGTCCATTTAGAATTTGAATGCGCTTTTTTGCCACATTTATCGCGTTGAGTGGAGCTTCCGCTTGCCCCAAAAAACCATTGAGCATGCGCTGTAACAAATCGTAATCTTTACAGTCCATTTGAGATTTCACAATAGACTTCACTTTATCGAGATTGTGGCATTCACACTATTCAGCACTATTCTTGCTAAAACTTTTAACAACTTGTTACATGTGAATTGGGTATAAGTGGGTTTTTTGATGTATTATTTTGTTTCTACTCCCTGAATAGTGATGAAGCCAAGGTTAAGTTTGCTGATGAGGTCCTAGACTTTGTTGTGTACTATTGTATCATAGGTGTTGTTGTTCTTTTCGTTGGATTCTTCCAAGTAAGTAAATACCTCTAATATTTGAGTATTTAACCTTATTTAAAAAGAATTTGGATAATGCATTAAAAGCCAAAAAATAATATTAGGGACATCAATAGTAATGAATGTTACAAATTTGTGAGTGCAATTACAGTAAAAAGTTTCTATGGTAAGTAAATAATATAATCTAAACACCAAGATGAATCTATAACCATGTTTTGTTTTTTTTTTGTTTTTTTTTTAATCACTTTTATTCAAAAACACAAAGAAAACACATTACAAAAATTGGATATATGGAAATAATATAAGGTAAATTTCTTTTGGGGGTGCACCCCCCCCCCCTTGACGACAGCCTGTAGATATACCACTGTATAA